CTTTGATTCTCAGGGAAGAAGCAGGAATGATAAGAGCAAATGTCAGCTGGAAAGGGTGCTGCTGTGCTCCCTTCTCTGGGAAAAACAGGCTTGTTTGGGCTGGGGACATGATTCAGTGGGCAGGAGCACTTGCTGCACAAGCATAAGGCCCTGAGTCCTGATGTCTAGAACCCATGTCAAAGGTAGATGTGGCCACTGGCACCTGGAACCTCAGCACTGGGAGTGAAAACTGGAGGATCCTTGGGGCTGAGTCCTCCTCTGACTTCGTATGCATGTATGGACACATGCACCCACTCATACACATGTACACACATGCATACGCCACACACAAAGTTAATTAATTAATTTAAAAAGAATGCTTGTGGGGTTGGAGAGATGGTTCAGTGGTTAAGAACACTGGCTGTTCTTGCAGAAGACCCACGTTTGAATCCCAGCACCCACACGGCAGCTAACAACTATATGTGACTTCAGTTCCAGGGGATCTGACAGATCCCCTCTTCTGTCCTCCACGGGCATTGCATGACACGGTGCACTTACATACATGCAGGCAATACATGCGTACATATAAAATTAAAAATTAAAATAAAAAGAATGCTTGTTTTTCTGTATCTCCAATAGCATCAGTCATTCCTGTTGACTCAGTTTTACTCTCTACCAAAAATGAAAACAGTTTAAAAAACAATCAAAGCTAGCAGAGAGACGACAAAGGAAAGATGGATAAATGCATGGGTTGCCATTGTCTTTAACACAGTAAGTTAACAGATATGACTAAACAGTTTAAAAAGGGAAGAAAAGAAATAGGTGCAGAAGCACAAACATATAATTCCACCATTCAGGAGGTTGAGCAGGAAGAGTACAAGTTCAAGGCCAGTCTAAGCTAGATAAACCCTATCTCAAAAACAAACAAGCAAGCAAACAAAAGAAAAACCTCATACAAAATGACTCCAAGATCTCTCATTCACTCCCTCACTCTTACTCTCCTTTGCTCTCTCAATTCTCTTCATTCTCACTCTCACTTTCTCTCTCATGTTCAGTCCTGTCTCACTCAATTTTTAATCTGTATTTACACAGAGAAAGATAGTAAGCAAATGTCAACAGTGGCTATTTCTGGATATTTGAGTTGCCTTTTGTTTTCATCAGTTCATTTTATGCTGTGTGAGTATTTTAATGACTATACAACATGTTCATTAGTTAGTTAAGCAGTTTTCTAAAATCCAAAAGTAAACACAGCCAAGCAATGTAATACAAGTATAGGTGTGTACACAAGCATACACATCTACACACATACCTACACACCAAGAGAAATCAAAAATTCAAGCACTGTAGAAAGCTACAAATGCCAAGTCAAAGTTTCCTACCCTTTCTACTCAACATCCTATACCTTCCCAATGACAAGCACAGCATACAGTTTTCTTTATAAAAAATTAATAAAAGGGGATGTAGAGATAGCTCAGTGCTTCAGAGTATGTACTGCTCTTGCAGAGGACCAGAGCACCTACATAACGCAGTTCACAATTGCCTGTACCTCCAGCTCCAGGGGATCCAGTGCTTTCTGAACTCCCGCACCCACATATGCACACGCACACACGCAAACACACCCACGCACACAAATTATAAAAAATACAATTTTTTTATTTTAAAGGCATTATGCTTTTATATTTACACAAAAGACCACACACTCTTCTACATCCTGTGTTCATTTTTTTTTACTTATTTTATGTGTATGAGTGTTTTGCCTGCATGTATGTTAAATGTACCATGTGTGCATGTGGAGATCAGAAGAGGAACTTGGATCCTCTGGAATTGGAGTTACAGATGGTTGTTAGCCACCATGGGGTGGTAGGACTCAAACCCAGATCCTCTGCAAGAGCAGCCAGTGCTCTTAACCGCTAGACCATCTTTCTAAGCTCCTTGAATCTTGCTTTTTAAAATAAATATGGTGCCTTAAGATTCTTCGAGGTTGCACCAGACTTGCAGTGAGGCTCCTATAGCACAGCCACTTCCAAGAGGTTTCAGATGCTCCTGCAGCTTCAGCAGGAGGAAGGGACTATGTTCGAGGTGCCAGGAGACCTCAGGAAGCTGCCCAAGTGGTTCCACACCAAATACCTGGGGAGTCCAAAAGCAGTTCACCTGGACACTTGGCTGGTGGAAGCGATGTTTGGTCAGGGCAGCGAGCACATCCCATATGGAGAGTGTGTGGCACTCACCCTGCTGTATGTGAATCAATGGGACCCTGAAGGTGAAGTTGAGATCCTGATATTCAGGTGACCTTATTACCAACGAGACATATCCAAGAAGATCTTAAGATTAACTGACATTGCTACAAGCACCTGGTGCCAAACCAAAGAAGGACCCATGTCAGGAACCTAAGACCCATAGTTCTCCCATGGAGATATCTGAGGCTACCACTCAACAGTCTCAGGTGGAGGTCAGTGAGGCCTCCACCTAGCAGGCTCCTGTAGAGGCCAGGTCTGAGAAGTTTCTGGAGGTTGTTCTTGGGGCAGGAACCCAGAGTTCTCCAGTGAAGGTCAATGAGACTGGAACCCAGCAGTCTTTGGACATGGTCCAGAATATTAGTATTCAGCCTCCAGGGTCCATCTGGGAGCCAGTTACCAGGTTATGAAGACATCTCGGGCCCAGCTGTGAGAGCCAGGCTGAACGCAGTGGTACACACCTGTAATCCTAGCACCTGAAGGCAGAGACAGGAGGATCTCCAGCTCCAGGTTAGCCCAGCCTGCATAGTGAGGCCTGGTCTTTAACCCCTGCATAGTGAGGCCTGGTCTTTAACCCCTGCCTGTTTTTTTCAATGCAAGTCTCCAGAAATAATTCTTTATGGTTAAATTTCTGCCCTACAACTTGGTGGTAATAATGGAGTAGGCTGTTTTTGTTTTCCCTTGCAAGCATGGATTGAAAATAGTCCAATAAAGAAATGCATTTCAAAAAGAAGATCCTTCCACACCAGCACTTTCAGATACATGTGTCTGCTATTGTTGCTTAAAGATGTATGGTAAAACTCATACCATTAATTTAAATTTTTAGGTTTTGGCTTTTTGTTTATTTGCTTAAAATGGCATTAAATAACAAATTTTAAAAATATGAGAAGTCAAAAGAGAGACCATCGAAAAAATGTCTAAGTTTATTTTAGCACTTTTTTTTTTTTTTTGTCTTTTTTGAGACAGGGTCTCCCTGTAGCCCCAGCTGTCCTGGAACTCACTATGTAGACCAGGCTGGCATTGAACTCACAAAGATCTGCCTGCCTCTGCCTCCCAAGTGCTGGGATTAAAGGCATGCGCCACCACACCCAGCTCATTTTAAGTGAATATTTTTTTCATGCTTGTTTTGTTTCTTCACAGTTGGGGGTGGATGGCCTTACCAATGCAGCTTTCCACTGAGCTAAATTCCCAGAATTTTCTCCTGAGTCTTAAAAATTATATAATTGGCCTAAAACCTGAAGAGAAGTTCCAGGGAACATAAGACTCCTTTAGTTCTTGCATTACAACAGCAGGGCAGGTGTCAATCACAGCTTGTCCTACAGCTATTCTCCCCTTCCTTGCTAACAGAAGCCCTATTTTGTTCAGGGTGACAATATGTACTGTTAGAAAACAAGAGTTAATATGCTCTTATTTTTTTTTTTTTTTTTTTTTTTTTTTTTTTTGTCTCCCTGTAGCCCCAGCTGGCCTGGCTCTCACTATGTAGACCAGGCTGGCCTCGATCTCACAGAGATCCACCTGCCTCTTGCCTACTAAGTGCTGGGACTAAAGGCGTGCACCACCACACCCAGCCCAAGAGCCTCTTACAAACCTGTCTGGCTCATGGTATAATTTCCACAGTTCTATGTTAAAATAAGAAAAATACCAATAATACAGTAGGTCTTTCTCTCATTAAAGAAAATTTATTAAATTTAAAGGAATGCTTAGTTCGAGGTCTTAGTCTTACTACTTTCTTGATTGGATTAAGTTCTTATGCTTTTAGTGGGTGAAAGAATTTTTAAATAAAATTTTGTGTGAGGCCCCGACACACAGTAGGAACTCAACAATGAGTGACAGATAGTGAGAACTCAACAGTGACACATAGAACCCAACAGTGAAGGACACACAGTAAGAATTCAACAGTGAGGGGCACACTGTGAGAACTCCACAGTGAGGGACACACATAAAGAACTCAACAGCGTGGGGACACCCTTTCTTCCTCAATGACACCTCTGAACCGCCCAAGCAGAGGTTTGTCTGGTAGGTGATTGTGAACCCCTCAGGCAGAGAGGATTAGCCATCACAGGGTCTAAGAAGCCGATTTCTCCAGCACCTACTCAATGCCTGACACACAGTAGGTCCTCAACGGTGAATAAACGAGTAACAGGGTAGGGGACAAGCAGAGGTTTGTCTGGTAGGTGACTGTGAACTCCTCAGGCAGAGAGGATTAGCCATCACAGGGTCTAAGAAGCCGATTTCTCCAGCACCTACTCAATGCCTGACACACAATAGGTCCTCAACGGTGAATGAACGAGTAACAGGGTAGGGGACAATACATTCAGTCCTATTCGGCAAACTTGAATGAGCGCCCATGCCAAAGGGTAGCGGGAAGCAGGTAGGACGTGGCCTCAAGATCTAATTTCACACCTACTGTGACATGCTTTCATTTCCGTATTTCGTCTTCAAGGCTGTCTGAGTTTTCCTGTCAGCAACATCCCTGACAGCCCCTGGGAGGATCTGGGTGGGGCTCTCTGTCCTCTCAGTCAGACCCCGCCCCATTGCCAAGCCTGCGGGGGGGGGGGGGGCGCCTCGCTGTTCCCTGGAGAGCTTCTACAGAGGCCCCGCCCCACGCCAAGCCTACGCAAGCCGCCAGGGGTCGCTGTTCCCGCGAGAGCTTCTACAGAGGCCCCGCCCCGTGCCACGCCTGCGCGAGCCTACAGGGGTCGCTGTTCCCGCGAGACTCTCCGCACAGGCTCCGCCCCGTGGCCCGGCTGGCGTCCTCCGTTGGGGAGTGTCCCCCGCCACGCCCCACGCCCCAAGCCAGGGCCGCCCTGCCACTGTCCCTCTTTCTCCGCGGTCCACCTCGACGTCGGCGCGACGGGCCCAGCGTGTCAGCGGCCGCCGTCTCCGAGGCACGCGGCCTCTCCCCGTCGCCACACCCTCCTCCTCCTCCCCCTTCGCGGAAACTACAGCTGCGCGGGGCTGGCACCGCCTCCCTCCTCCTACCACGTCTGACTCCGCCGCAGTCGCCCGGCGCCCCAGCCCGGCCGCCGCGCCTCCCCCTCCCCGCTAGCCCAGCCGGCGGCCCTGCCCGGCTGCCGCCCGGGATGAATATCATGGACTTCAACGTGAAGAAGCTGGCTGCCGACGCGGGCACCTTCCTCAGCCGGGCCGTGCAGGTACGGGGGCGGGGCGCGGGGGACTGGGTGGCGGCGCCGGGGAGTTGAGGGAAGGGCGGGCCCGAAGCGGCGGCGTCCTGGGCACCCCTGCCTCCCTCACCGCCCTCCGCCGTCTGAGGCTGGGGCCCGGGTGCTGGGCGCGGCCTGGAGCTCCCGCCGACCGTTTCCGCCTCCATTCGGCCCAACCGCCGCTCCCAGCGGAGCGAGGAGTCGGGACGCGGCCCAGCGCGTCCTCCCGCCGCGGGACACCTTGAGTTCACCCCGGGCGGAGGTGCGGCCCCACCCCGCATCACCCAGGTGTCCCCCTGTTCCCCGGCTGGCGGGGCCGGCCTGTGGCCGACCCCCACCATCCTGGAACCACCCCCATCCTTTCCTGCGGCCTCCCCGCCGCCGAATCAGTAGGGAGTTTCCTTTTCCTGCCCCTCTACGCAGAAGAGCTGCCAACACGGTTCCCACCGGCCCTCTGTTTCCTTGAAAAGGGCTGTCCCTGGCCTTGGCTACCCCTGGAGGAAATGGAGGTCGCCCGGTGGCGGCCAGGCTTGACTAAAGACACTGGAGACTTGGCGTTAGTTGAGGGTCTCTGAGTCATTCTCTAAATGGGCTATAGATAGAGCAGCGGTAAGAAGAGGGCAAGATCCATGTAAGTCCGTGGTCACATTAGTGTGGTTCAAGCACTCTTTAAGGGGGAAAGTTCACTGCTTCCCCGGATTCTGAAATCAAGGAAGTGTCAGCAGTAAGGAACTTGGACAGCTTTCTGCAGTCAACACCCACATTATGCAAACTCAGTTCAATCTGTGAACAGAAGTAAATTTCCTAACATGGGTTGTAAACAGTCTGCTATTTAAGTTAATGACATCGAGGAGCAACAGCATTCTCTTTTGTAAGGAGAAAACAAAAATGTTTTCTTTGTGCCATTTATGCTGAACTATAAATCTGTTCTTCTGCTTTACTTCTTTCCTTGTTTCCTTTACCCTAATTTTATTGGCACAGTTGACAGTGCATTGCATTATCGTTGGCAAAAGAATGGGAGAGTTACAACAAGGTAATAACTGCCTGTCTTATGAAAAATGCTGTGCTGAGCACTTCACTAAACGTTTGAGATACTGTCTGCAGTCCTCTCATTTTGCCAGATATACATTATTAACCCTCCTATGGATATAAGGAAGCAGCCTCAGAGAAGATTAATAACTTGTTTAACTTGCCCGTCTGGTAAATAAACAGTGCTGTCTGTTTACTACCATGAACTGCTTTCTCTTTCTGGATAAACATTCATGTTTTAAGGTATTGAACAGCAGAATGATGTGGCCTAAAGGACCTTAAAGATCATCTGGTAAAATCTGAACATTTCTTTATTAACTGCAAATAACACCTAAGAGATGGGAAATTCCATCTAGCCTTTGATTTCCTAGTTCCTAAATCTACGTGATGCATAACAAGCTAGCTGCCTTACCCCCTTAATCCTCCTTCCTCTAAAATACAAGGTTAAATAATTGAGGGTAGGAAATTATCTTTAGACTGAACATTGACTTCAGTATAGGACTAGAGCCAGTGGTACATTTTTGTTTTTGTGATAATTACCTATTAATCTAGGTACTTAATGAAGATTTAACACTACATAATGCTACTTTTAAATACAGTTAAATGTTTCCGAAACACAACCGTCTCTCTTTAAAACAAAACCGTCTCTCCTTAAAATTTAAATTATTGATAGGCTCAATTTTTAAATGTAAATCTAGAAAAACTCTAAAAGGTGTACTTCCCAAATGTATTTTGGTTACTTATTTCAAACTTCTAAAAATAAAGTTTTTAAATTGTATCCTGATCTGTGAGCTGGCAGTAATTTTTCCCTTGGTCTTAAATATTCAAGCATGCATTCCATGTCTAGCTGTCACTATTATGGACCCTGCTGATTAGCAGTGAATAAAGTCAGCAGAGTCTCTTCATGGAACATATAGTCTAGCAGAAGACTGAATAGATCAGGTAGAGGTGACTAGGGTAACAGCAGAGATGGTGGTGCTTGTCACTGTATAGGTAGGATAGTTGGACAAGTCACTGTAATAGGATGAAGCCCAAAGAGACCTTAGTAAAATAATAGAGGCCCAGATATATGAGGTTTTTGTTTTATTTTCATTTTGAAAGAAAGGCATTCCAGACAAACAAGTTTAAAGATTCTAGGGCTTCAGGGGTATAAGAGGACCAGTTAGAGAGTTGTGGCCACAGGACAGGAAAAACATAATTATGACTTGTGGTGGCAGGGGAGATTAAAAATCCTTCCAGTATTGGCTATCAGATTGGCTGTAGAAGATGAGAAAACTGGGTCAAGAGTGACTTCCCAAACATTGGCTTCAACCATTCATTAAGAAGAGAAAATTTTAGCTGGGAGTGGTGGCGCATGCCTTTAATCCTAGCACTTGGAAGGCAGAGGCAGGCGGATCTTTGTGAGTTCGAGGCCAGCCTGGTCTACATAGTGAGTTCCAGGATGGCTGGGGCTACAGGGAGACCCTGTCTCAAAAAAAAAAAGAAAAGAAAAAAATTTAAAAGGAGAAACAGTCTCCTTTAATGTGTTCTTTTTATATTGTCTGTTAGCAATACAAACTGAAGTATTTATAGTTAAACCTATAGTTTAATATTCTATAATTTTTCAGAAAAAAAATGCAAGTGGTTGGAGCAAGATGAGTAGAACGTTCTTAGTGGTTGGAGCTGAACTATGGGTATGGCTTCATGAAGTTTCATTATACTGGTTTTCACTCCTCTGTCGAGTTTTTGTATGTTTAACATTAAGTGTTTCTAAAATAAAATGTGAAATACAGAATGCTATATGATTTTCAATAAAACACTGTTTGCTTATTTCAGTAGTCAGTAACTGAGTTACTACTCTAAGGCTCTAAGCTAAGGTGACATCGGTACAATGCCAAAGTACCGAGTTTCATGCTAAGAATAGTTTAAGAGCTATTCCAGTAACTCTTTATAAACAGTAAGAACAGTAGAGAGACCTCAACTTTCTCATTTCTAAATTTCCATTCAAGTCAAATTGTGCTTTAAGGAATAGGCTGTTCTCTGACCAATTAGTATATATTTTACTTAAAATTTTTTGTTAGAAGTTAAATTTTTTCTTTCAAAAACCAAGAATATAAATGGGTAGATAAGCTTTGGTGCTTTAAAAAGAACGTTAAGGTAGAATGTATATATGACTATGAATATTACTAACTAGTCCAATTGGGTATTGTTTTTGTGTGTTTGTGTACTTATTTGTAGGTAACACCTGCATACGTATGCACATTCATGCACATGTATGCACATGCATGGAGGACAGAGGTCAGTGTTAGGTATCTTCATTCTCCACCTTACTTTTTTGAAACAGGGTCTCTCAATGAACCTGGAGCTCCTGATAAAGCTAGACTAGCCAGTCAACAAGTCCCAGAGATCCTCCTTTCTTTACCACACTCCAACTCTCCACGGATACACCCAGTGCTGGGGTTACAGGAGTATGTGCCATGCCCAGCATTTACGTGGGTGCTGAGGTTCTCACTTAAGGCTTTGTGCCTCTGCAGCAAGTAATTTACTGACTGAGCCATCTTCCCAGCCCTGTTTGTTGGTTAACTACTTGAAAACGTTGGAATGCGAAAGCATCTGGTAATTTGTCATTGTGAAGTTATTTTGCTACTGTCTTACTAAGCCAATTATTGGTCTTTGAGCTAATCTTTTTAGCCCAAATTCTTTAACTGTTAAGTACGCCCTTACAATCTGTTCTTTATCTTATATAAAAACTATTTTGATTGTATTTTTTTAATTTCCAAGGTATCTTATACTTGTCAAAATCCAGGCTTTTGTTCATGTAGTTGAAGTATTTTGAATATTCTCCATCCCTTCTCTGCTTACTCTTTTCCTTCTTCAATAGCTTCAAGTCCATCTCAACTGTGAAGACTTCTGGGACCACAAGAGCTTGGATGTAAATTCCTGTGTCATTTTTTATTTCTGTATGATCATGTGGCATTTTTCTTTTAATGAACTACTATGATAGATCCCTTGGAGCTCTAAAATTCTATTCATTTATCCAAGCAAGTTAGTACCCATATATAAAGTTTGCCTCTTTGAAGAGCAAATTACTGTAGTAATTAATCTAATTACTATAACAAATAATTTCGTTATCTCTCAGTATTTTTTCTAGCATCATATTTGCTGTTCTTGAAGTTGACTGTCATTGAATGATACAAAGATAAATGAGACCAAGTTCTTGTCCTCAAGAATGTCGTAGTTTAGTGATAAATGTTACTTTATTTGTTAAACCTTTTAAGTAGATAAAAATAAGAGATTCATTTTGTAATCTAGACTTGACATTAAAGCAAACTTTGCTCATTTTTTTTAAATGCAGAGCATTCGCTTTTTAAAATCTTTTTCAAACTGTTATTTACAGAGTTCATTTTAATTTTCTAACTGTCTTAGTTTGTTCTTCATTGCTGTGACAAAATACTCTGACCAATACCAACTATTGGTGGATTCGACACTTCCAGCTGGGGGAGGAAAGGGTTTGTTTCGCCTTAGTTTACAGTTCGTCGTGGAGGGAAACCAAGGCAGGAATCTCGGAGGTAGGAACTAAAGCACAGGCCATGGAGGAACGCTGATTACTGGCTTGTTCCTCTGGGCCCTGCTCAGCCTGCTTTCTTATGCAACACAGGCCCACCTGCCCAGGGGTGGCACCACCCACAGTGGGCTGGGCCCTCCCATGTCACTCATCAAGAAGATGCCCTCAGACATGGCCACAGGCCAGTCCAATAGAGGCAATTCCCCAACTGAGGCTCCCTCGACCCAGGTGTGTCAAGTTGACACTAAAGCTATCTAGCACACTAACATTTCTCCTGAAGTGATTATTAAAGGAATACTAAAAGCTTCATGAATACCAGCTATTTTCTAAGGGGAATAGTATTTAAAATGTAGTTCTGAGGTTGGCCTTGATCTTGAGTTTATAACAAGAAAGATAATGATACATCTCATTTAAAAAT